GGTAACTGGACTTTCTGTGAGGTCTGGATTTAATTCCTCTTCTCTTATGGAAACTGGAAGTCCCAAGTATTATTTTTCCCAGGGGCAAAGTATGTATGTATTTATGTATGTATGATATGTATGTATGTGTGTGTGTGTATGTGTGTGTGTGTGTGTCTCTCTGTCTCTCTTTCATCTACTTCCCCTCAGTTCCCTCCCCCCATCATCTTTGATATCTGCCTTTTCATTTGCCATTCAGTTAGAGAAATAGGGCATATGTTATGTCATCTGATCCTCATAACAGTTTCTGAGGTAAAGAGTTATCTCCTTTATCTCTATAAAGTATTTTTCTCCATTTTACAGATTCAAAAGCCTGAGACTCTGAGAGATGAAATTGACATGACTAGTAGGAGGTAGAGCTGAGACTCAATCCCTGGTCTTTTTTATTCCGAGTTGAGTGCTGTCTTCATTCACTGTATAGAAAAGGAATTGAGGTGACTTTTGGGCAAGAAAAGGGGTCCATTAATACGTGTCATTGAGATAGTTATTTGTCTCCCCGTATGAAAGTATTTTCAGCAGCAAAAATCTGTTGAGCACTAAAACACCTGGTCATGAAGACGTGTTTTGAGAGATACTGAATCTGCCAAAGGGCATCAAAATCTGAGGTTTTAACCCAAATCTAGGATTTTGCACAAGACAGCCTTACAGACCTTATTGTTTCTCACATTGGGGATACAGTAAGAATTATGAGTATGGACTCCGGTAGTCTGTGAATGCTTCATAGAATAGCTGGGACTTGAAGTGAACCATGAAGTATGGGTAGGATTAGAAATCTTTTGATTCTTTGAGATCTTGTTTCTTATGCCTTTGTGCTCACACAGGGAAGTAGAGAAGGTAGAAAGGAAATTTATTGAAATCCTGGCGCTCAGAAGAGGCTGCACAAAACTGGATAAGTAACTTATCTCATGGCCTGCCATGAAGTGAAAATCTCAGAGTTGGAAGGGTTTTCTGAGGTCATCTAGTCCAATATGAACCTGAACAAGATACCACTCTACAGCACTTAGTCATCTAACCTTTGCTTGAAGAAGGGATTTCTCCCTCTAATGTGGGGGAATCTATTTTCCCAAAGCAGTTCTTTCCATTTTTAGAGATCTCTAGTTGTTAGTTTTCCTTATGTTATGCTGAAATCTCTTTTTATTATTTATAGTATCATAGCATGATAGATTTAGAACTAGAAGGAACCTTAGGGGTCTTGTAGTCCAGCCCCTGCATTTTGCTGATGAGGAAGCTAAGGTCCTGAAAAGGGAATTGAGTTGTCCATTATCACACTGGGCTAAGATTTGAACACAGGCCCTCCAACTCCATATCTAGCACTTTCCCCATTGTTTCAACCATTACTCCATGGACTTTTCTCTTGGGCCAAACAGAACAAATTCAGACCCTCTTAGGACCATTTAAATACTTGAATTTATCATGCCTCATAATTGCTAAATCTAATTACCTCTTGATCCTAATTGCCTTTTTAATCTCTGCAACCATTGACAATATTAGTCACCCTCTTCTGATCTTCTCTACTCTCTAGGTTTTCATGAAACTACCCTCTCTGGTCCTGCTATCTGTCTGACTGATCCTTCTCAGTCTCTTTTATTGGATGTCTCTAAGAGTCTGTCCTTCTCTTTTCCCTCTATACCAGTGATTCTGAACCTTTTAGTGTTAACCCCGTTGGTCTGGTGAAGACTATGAATTTCTCAGAATAATGTTTTTAAACAATTGAAAGAAATGCCATATATATACACATATATATATATATACATACATATATATATATATATATATATATATATATTTTTTTTATGTGAGGCAATTGGGGTTAAGTGACTTGCCCAGAGTTACACAGCTAGTAAGTGTTATGTGTCTGAGACTGGATTTGAACTCAGGTCCTCCTGGCTCCAGGGCCAGTGCTCTATTCACTGTGCCACTGAGCTGCCTCTAAAAATGCTGTATTTCAGCTAAATGTTAGCAAAGATAAAGATGGTAATTTTTTTCCTTATCCAAGTTCATGGCCCTCTGAGACCTTAGCTAAAAAACCCTACTCTTTATTATCTCATTTGATGATCTTATCCTATGGGGTTCAATTCTGATCAGATGATTTGCAGGTAAATTTATCCAGCTCTCTTCTGAGAGCTGTATTTCTTCAGTATTGCTTCACCAAATGTCTGTTAGACATCTTGAACTGGATGTCCTTTTTCACAAACTCAACATGATCAAAACAGAAATCATTTTTTTCCTCCCAAAGCCTCCTCTTTTCTGAACTTTGCTATTATTACAGTCAAGGATACCACCACCTAGCTATCTAGGCCCACAACCTCAGTGTCAGCCTTGACTCCTCAGTAATACTCACCTCATATATCCAGTCTTGTCATTTCAGCTTTCACAGAATCTCACCCATGTCTCCTCTCCACCCACAAAGCCAACACCCTGGTGCAGACTTTCATCACCTCACACTGGACATTTGCAATAGGTTCCTTTTTGGCTTCCTGCCTTCTCTCTCCCTAATCCACTATATCTTCCATTCAGCTGCCAAAGTGAGTGGAACTTTTTGAAGTGCAGGCCTGACCATTTCCCCCTCGCCCCCAAATATCAGTAAATTCCAGTGGCTCCTCTCAGGGAGCAAATATAAATTACTCTGGATTTTAATAATTCTCTTACATAACCTGGCTCCTTCCTACCTTCCCATTCTACTTATTACATCTCCATAATCATGTAACACTGACCTCCTTACTCTTCTTGAGCACAGCATTCCAACTTCTATCTGTGTGCCTTTCCGCTGGTTGAGTCTCATGCTTGGACTGCTTTCCCTTCTCACCTGTGCTTCCTGGCTTCCCCTTATAGCTTCCTTTGAGCCTCAGCTCAGATCCCATCTTCTGCCAGAGGTTGATTCCCTTTCCTGTGAGATACACTTTGTATATTTCTACTTATGTCTCACGTATGTTCAGTTGTTTGCATTTTGTCTCCTCTATTAGTATGTGAACCCATATACAGCCCAGACTGTGTTTTTAAGCGATTCTTTGTGTACTTAGCACTTAGCATAATACCTGGCACTTAGTAAGCATTTAAATGCTTGTTGACTGAGGTCTTTAGACATCTTTAGCTTGACCCTTCATGTTGAGGATCTTTACTATCTTACTCACCTTCTTCCATAATCTTTCTGACTTTTACTTACTGGCTTTCAAACAGGCCTCCCCAGGTTGTCTGTGTCATTTAAGCCAATGCACAATGAATAAAAATAAGCAAGTCCCCCTAGTAGGGTGGGCCTACCTGCAACTGGTATTTGGCATTCGTTAGTTGAACATTGAACTCTTTGAAGCAGCATCTGTATTTGGGCCTTTATCTTCATTTCATACTACTGGTGGCAATATGCCCCTTTTTTGCTTTGCTTATAGTCAGTAAATGACTGTTTTTAGTATTTAAGCTGAATTTGTACTGAATTTGAGGTTTTTGTTTTGTTTTTAATTCTAGATGTCTTAATATCTACCCCGTCCCTCCTCATTGATGCCTTTCTTGTAACAAAAACAATTCATGACCCTGCCTCTTAATGGTAGTCCATTTGATTAATTGCCTCTGTATGCTTATTGTCATACTGAGCTGCATGTTCTGCATTTCTCTGCATGAAGCATTTCTCTTTGCTGAAGTTACTCTGGATATAGTTTTATAATCTAGTAGCTCTCAGGACTGGATCCTGATAAGATTATTCCCACTGTATGTTCATTGCCTTGGTTTACTCAGTGAAGTCACTGACCTCTTAATTCACCTTTGAAGTTATCCTTTCTTTCTTAAACATGCTGTTAACTGTATATTTTGCTTCCTAGAGTGTTTGGCTTATGATACTGAAATGCTCCCTCTGAACTTTTTGGGATCTTATTCACTCCTAATACCTTAACATAGAGAATTTTCTACTTCTCAGGGGAGGCCCTTAGACCCATGGGGGTGGGAGAGTGAGTCCTTCTGAGCATCAGACAAAGTTAGCCCTGGATTCACCCATCATCTTCCTGCCTTGATGTTGGCAGTTTCTGAAACGTGCCCCAGGCCTGCCTGCTTTGGGGGTTGGGAAGGAAGGTAGCAGAAAAGGAGTAATTGTGGACTTGGGGTGAGAGATGGAAAACCTGGAAAAAAATCATTTTGAAAATTTCTTTCTCTATGCTAGAAAAGAGCCACACTGATCCTTTCCTATCTGTGTTTTAAAATAAATTTCCAGACCACTATCTCTCTAAAATGCTAAATGTTCATTTTGAGCAGAATAGGTTATTCCATATGTATTGTTTTTCTTCTTAAACTACACATTGACTTTAGTTAAATTTCTGGGACTTGTACAATCTCTGCTTGTAAAGGAGCATGGAATTCCTCTTTCTCAAACCCTGGAGTTTGCTGTTTCTCTTTGTGCCTTGGCCCCTTGTTCACTAAGGGATGAAGGGAGGAAGGGAGGAAGAGAGAGAGAGAGGGAGAGAGAGCGAGCCCTGGGAGTTTGAACTGACACTGTCAGTTGGCTCCTGGGTGGGTGGGGGTTTCCTAGAGAGGGGAAGAAGGTCCTTCTATGATAGAGCTGTTTATTGTGTTACAACATTGAAGTAATCCCCATGGTCTGGGACATTTCTGGTGCTTGCAGTTTGGTCCCTAACTTGATTCTGCCAGGTTCTGGAATTGTCCCTTCATCTTTGTATTGGAGGCATGGCTGCGAAAGAGCTGCAGGTAATTGTGCTGCAGTTGTCGTGCACTCTTAACCGAGAGGGTGTGCACCAGGGCCAGTAACTAAGTTATCCAAGTTCTCTTTGTTTATTCTAATCTCCAGTGTCTAGAATGGGATACATAGTCCTTAAACAAAACAAAGCTAGTCCTTTGTACGGTTAGGGAACCATTGCTCGACAGGGGTGGCAGGTTTGGGGATGAAAAGGGAATTTCATGTTTGTACAATGATTTGTAAAAGGTGCTATGTCTTTGTTTCTCTCTCTTCTGTCACTTTCCAGGACAGTAAATGGCCTTGACCAAGTTCCTCCAACTGGTCTGGGCTCCTCCAGACCATCATCTGCTCCAGGTATGCTGCCTTTGAGCGTGTGAGCACCCAGTGTCCAGGTGGAGGACTCGGCCCTCCACTGATGAACAAGGATATACCTACACCTCACCTGTCTGTGCGCACACCTGCAAGGCCCAACTCATGCCCTTCTATCCACCTGCCTTCCCGTAGCCAGCAGATGGCATGCCAGCTGCATGCCATGGCAAACACCATGCCCACTGCCCTGCAGGACTCTGCTCAATGTTAACCCTGGTTATTTTTTCTTCTCACCATAGTGCCCATTGGTTTCACATGATTGCACTTTTGTGGGTCACAAGCTGATACGTGTATTACTTGGTTTCTCTGGATACAGAAGTTCCTGCTCACCCCCTCAGCCCAGCAGCCCTTCCTTGCTGTTCCAGTAGGAATCATTTGAGTGTAGGACCAGTGCAAATCTTGGAGTTCTCCAAAACCTCATATTGATGTGTGTCCTTCACCACAGCTTCTCCATCCCCACCCCCACCCCACAGCATCTCTCCTCCTGCCCCCCAAAAAGAGTCTTTTATAGCAAAAAGGCTTTTGTATTTTGGGGCCTCACTTCTGTCCTATATTCATGGTAGTCACGGACACAGGGCACGTTTTTCCTGTACCTTCTGAAGCCTTTTGAGCAGTTAGCATTTCTCTAGGCTCCTATCACCAAGAGCAGCATTTAGTCCTGGCTCATAGACAGCAATGAAAGGGGTCCCCAGAAAGTCCTAGGGGCCATGTTCTGGAGGACTTTGCAACTGTGAGGTGTGTCTCCTTCTCTCTGTGCCTCAGACTTGGTGGGGTTGACCACCCCCTCACCAGCTTTCCGGATCCTTCAGTTAAAAACACTATCTTCAGAGCACTTTTGTTTTATTCTCAGTGGGCCTAACCAGTTGAATTGGGAGGAGTTGAGTGGCTCATCTCCAAGGGGCAAAGAGAAGACTGCCCCTCAGAAGGGTAGGACTTTACGTGTTTTTCCTGTGCATCCTTTGATTATTCACATGCTGCATTTACTGTTTACATTTTTTTTGTATATAGATTTGTAAACATACTTGCCTGAGATATTTGTGCATAACTTGGGCTTTGTAGCATTATTTATTCAGAATCCATTTGGCATGTTTAATGACTTAGGATGGTGTCCTACTGGGCAGCTGTATAAGATCATCATGTGGTTTAAAAAATAACAAAACACTTCTCATCAAAATAAAGATCCTTTTTTGTGGAAACAGTGAATTTTACAGAAAAAGAAGATTGAAGTTGATTTATTGCCTGTATGAGAGAAAACAAAAATTGGAGAATACTAATGACTCAAGAAGTTCAAATCCATGACCCCATAAATCAGAAAGAGGAATTGATTTTTACCATGCAGGGGGCTTCCCTAAGGGTGTTAAGTTAGGGCAGGTATCGCAGAAGGAAAAGGCCCCGATTTTGCTTTGAAGGGCATATTCCTTGTTCCCTTTTTCTCTTTTTCCCCACCTATGCTGATGAAATGAGTGATCCTTAACCTCAAGATCGGAAGCAGGTGGAGGATAACCATGAAGCCTCATGAGCAGATTCCTACCATGTGCTTGTTAGGGTTAGTTTATGGGGGTAGATAGGGTGGATCCCACCATCATTTTTCATGAAGTGAGGTGTTACTTTTGTCACTCCATAATTTGAGGTCATTTCAAACTAGGCTTCTTAAATTTCAACTCAGAATTTTCACCTCATCTCTCAGGCTTGCTGATTAACACCAGGTGAGAGAAGGTTCCAGGTATTTGATAGCAGTGACAAGAACAGCTTCAGAAACCTGCAGACTGGACGCTCACAGCTCTCATTCGACAGGCTTTGAATACTACTTTTGTTACAACAGATGAACTCAGCATTAAGAGCAAGCAGAAACTAAAATGCTAAATAAGCAATATCAAGTAATATTTCACATTTGTAAAAAAAATAATAAAATATTATGCAAGTAGTCTCTGCTTTTAGACATACTGCATTCTTCTGGAGTCTGGGTTTTAAACAAGTTCTCCACAAGACTGAATCCTGACATCATTTGCATAGGTATCTTCCTCTACAGCAGCAAGGGAAGGTGGTATGCAAAGGCATCAGTGAAAAATGAGGCCTGCCTATTTTCATGGATGTAATCCTATTCATTTAAAGTTGCAACCTAGCCAGTGGAGGAATATCTGCCAACTTACAATTTTTAGGGGTTGGATCCTATTTTAGAGACTTACTAGGTGCTATCATGAACAAATAAGTTCTTAGAGTTTTGTGAAGAAATTGGTTTGTAAACATTAACATATACATGTGAATTATTATTAGGCTTGGTGATCATGGTACAGTGGAAGCAACCTGTTTGGAGTCAGATGACCTGGGTTCTAAATTAATTGTGTGACTTTGGGCAAATCACAGCCTCAGGTTCTTCCTCTATAAAATGGAGAGGTCAGACTACCCAATTTCTAAGGGTCCTTCCAGTTCTAAAATTTATTGTGAGGTTACTTCCACTTTTGATATTCTGTGATTCCCAGTAGCCTTTTATAGTGTTAGTTGTGTTCATTAACTTTTTTTATAGCTAAGGCCCCTTTCGTTTTCCTAGAGCGGAAATGATAAACATCAACCTGTTCCACACACCGGTATGTCCTCTCTGCCCATGACAGTCATTTCTTCTTTCCCTCCTGTTTCACACTGCTATTTCTCTCCATATCATTAGATTCTGCCCTTCTGCTCATGTCAGCCTTTTAAAGTACCTGCATAATTCTCTTTTCTTTCTAAGGGGTCAGTTTGGTAACTTCAGTCAATAAATAGTAAACCTTTAATAAACACCTAAAAACTCGGTTTCATTTCCTCTCATCCTGCCACCAAGACATCATTAGCTGTCATAGCCATGAGCTCCTGTTCATTTCTCTGCTACATGTACTCATTTGTAAAATGCAGCATTCAGTTCCATCGCCTGTAATTGTTTATCCAGGTAGTTGTACTTACTGATGGAATGTAAGAGCAAACTGATGTTATGAGCACTGGGTTGGGAGTCAGAGGTTTTGAGTTTAAATCCCAACTCAGCCACTTATTACCTTTACAGCCATGGGCAGATCTTTAAGGAGGGCTATTTTTTCTCATCTGTATAATAGGGGGAAGGGCTAGGTGACTTTTAAGGTTCAGAAGTTTTAAATCTATGTGTGAATCTGGTATTTGTGGCCCAAAAACACACTGCCTTGTAAGGGGGTAAACTAAAAGAAGTCATTCTTAGCTGAAGTTAAATTAATAATGAGTGTAAGTTTACCATATTTTGCCTTGGCAGCCTGTAATTTTATCACAACATCTCCCTAGCATTTTCTTCTATATAAACACCTGCCTATTGACACTGTTAGGGATGCTTTCCAGGAACTTGACCCTGTCAGTTGCCATTTTTACAAATCTTCCTTGTAGAAGGGGAAGGTACTGCTGACTAATTGATGAGATTCATATTTATAAGGGCAGAGATCTAGTGGTCAGCTGAGGCTTCAGTGAACAATCTCTTCTAGATGATGCAAGCTGGAAGTAAAGATAGGAAACAAAGATGAGCAGAGGGACAGGGACGTTTGCATTTAAAAAAAAATTACTGTTAAAAGGATGGCGTTGTGTTGGTCTTTATTAAAGTAAGACCTGTGCTGCTGGAAGGCAGAGGTAAATAATGATAGCTCTTGCTTTCATCTTGTAATAGATATAGACTTGTACACAGTTAAATGTAGTACAGATTAGAGTATGATGAGTGCCTATGAAATCAGTGCTATGAGAGTGATCCCTTCTGTGGGGGGATGGGAGGATTGTAGAAAAGGGCAGGCATCTGAGTTAGATCTTGAAAGATGAGCCTCTAGAGATGAGTATTTGTGTCAGGTATTTCAGAGAGGGCAGTTGTAAAACACTGGAAAGAATGGAATTCATTTAGGGGTGGGGAACATTCAGGATTTGGCTCTAGTGAACTGGAAGAAGATGAGGTTGGAGCCACATTATTAGGGCTAAATTCTAGACTGAGAAAATTATACTTCATTTAAGGGGCAATTTGGGATACATTAAGGTTTTTTGACATGACCAACTTAGAAAGTTACTCTGGCAGTGTTATGAAGGATGGATGGGAAGGGCAGGAATGGACATTGAGAGACACAGGCTCGTATAATAATACACGTGAGAAGTAGTGAGGTCCTGAGCTGGAGTGGCTGCTATGGAAAGGGTAAGGAGGGATATGTTTGTAAAGTTGTATCATTGACAGGATTTGGAAAGATGACTTTGGAGGTTATGGAGTGGAGTGATTGGGGAGGGGCAGTTTAAATCAGGAGGAAAAGGTTTAGTGGGGTAAGTTCAGTCAAGTCAGCAAGCATTTATTAACACCTAAAGAATAGTGGAGATGTATGACAAAAACAAAACAGTCCCTATCCACAATTAGCTTAATTTTTATGAACCATAGCAATATGTACACACGTAAGTTTGACATAAAGTAAATATAAGTAATTTTGTGGAGGAAGCACTAGGAACTGGGGAGACCAGGAAGGCCCTGGTAAGAGATAGCACTACATGGCTAATGTTTTGCATGACTTCATGTGTGTAATAGGCATTGTAGTTCTTGTCTGCTTCGTGGATTGGGGAGGGGTGGAGAAAGGGAGAGGATTTGTAACTGAAAATAATAACTTTTTAAAAAAAGAGATGACAGTTGGACTGAACTTTGAAGGAAATTAGGAATTCTACAAAGTGGAAGAGAGAAGGGAATGCATTCCAGACACAAGGGATGGCTTGTGTAAGGCGTATAGATGGTGGAATGTTGTGTGTGAAGAATGGCAAGCCAATATGGCTGGACCATTTAAGTGTCTAGAGGGGAATATAGGGTATTTATTGAATCTAGGAAAACAGACAAACCAGATCAAATGTCCAAAGAATTTGTATTTTATCCTAGAGGCACTGGAATTTTTTGAGCAGGGGAGTGACCTAGTCAGATTTGGCAACTGATTGACTGTGGGTGGGTGGGTGGGATGAGGTAGAGTTGAAGACTCCAGGGCTGTGGACCAGGGTGACTTGAAGTTTAATGAGGAGGAGTTAGGAAGAGGGATAGGGTGACAATTCAGAGAAATGAGTTGTGTTTCAGATACATTAATTTGAGATGTCTACTGGACATCTACTTGGAAATGTTCAGTAGTTAAATTTGCCTTTGGATATAACTTAGTTTTTCCTTCTTTTCATTCATATTGTTATAGCCACTATATCTATTGCTTTCTTAATTCTACTTATTTCACTCTGAATAAGTTCATGTCTTCCCATGATTTTCTAAATTCTTTATGTTCATTATATCTTACAGTAGAGTAATATTCTATCATATGCATGTGCCACCTTTTGTTTAGTCATTCTCCATTGATAGGTATCTACTTTCCAATTCTTTGGTAACATAAGGGTTTTGCCTTACCTATTTATTCACAACAACCCTGGCAGAAATTATTTGCTCTGCTTTATAGAAAAGAATAACAGTAGCTGACATTGATTAGTGCTTTAATTTCACCAGCAGCTTGTTTCTCAACAATTTGTCTCACTTTAATTTTTTTTGCTAATTTGTTGGGTAATATCAGAGGCAATACGCACTGGATCATCATGCAAGGAGGCTACCCCCAGGATTTGGTTGGTGAAGATCAGGGTTTAAATACACTGCTGCTTTGTTGCCTGAGGCATAAAAAGGCAGGCTCATAAGTAGCTGATGTGCTAAAGATTTTAGCTGAATTCCCACTTGTCTTTCTAAATATCCTTCTAACTCAGCCCTGCTGCCATGGTGAATGCTGAGGTGGGGGGGGGGGGGAATCAGTGTTTTCATTATTAATTATGTCTTTAAAAAACTCTTATAAGTAAATTTATTATTTCATTTTATGGTTCATGAGTGTTTCAGTGCCTTCCAATTCTAAGCCTGAACCAAAACATTTGATGTTAAGACTGAATAAGATGACCTTGTGGTTGAAATAAAGGGCTAATGCAGAAGAGACCCTTAGGTAATTGGATGACCAGTTAGAGGAATTTGGTACCTTTGGTACCTTGAGGCTGCCAATGGGGAACTCTTTCAAAGGAAGAAATGGGACCCCCACTGACACTGTAGGATTTGCCTGATGAATGGGTGCTTAAGGGTTGACAAGAGGAAGAGTATTCCAAGTAGTTCTTGCTGAGGTTTTTACAAAGGCTAGATTGCCAGGATAAGGAAAATGAAAATATTTGAAATTAAAATCTTTGCACATTCAGTAGAGACAGATACGGATGTGTTTTCGTTTATTTAAGAATGGTGCCTTGAAGGCAGAGGGGCAGTTTATGGACTTGGTAACAGCACAGGGCAGGGCGGATGAAGGCAGGGACTGTTTACAGGCTCTGACCCAGAGGTGGTTTTGCTTAAGAATGTGTTGAATCTCACTGAGATTGGGGCTCTAAGGAAAGAGAATAGGAAGAAGAGTGAGGATGAGAATTGGGAATGGGCTTCTTTGGGAAGAGATCTTTAAGCTTAAGAGGGGGTGGGGAGTACCCTGTTAAAGCCCCTTTGGGTAACTTCCTCTAGAGTCAGAAGGTGGGTGGGCTTTCACCACTGAGGAACTTGGGTGGCTATATTAGAGATTTAAACAGCAAGCTCTCAGAACAATATATGACACACTAGTGGGAATTCCAACAAAACTCCAGCTAATGAGCTCCCTATTGGTTGAGCTCTTAATGCTTCAGGTGACCAGAAGGCAATGCCAGTGATTCAGACCCTAATCTTCCAGACCAGAGGTGTCGAACTCAGGGCCTTTGGGCTGCATCTAGTTGGCAAAACTCTCCAGAATAGCCCGAGTGAGTTTAAAGTGTAATTAGGAAATGTTTAACAAAATAAATAAAAATGCAATAAACTATCATGTTAATTTTCAGTTTTCTAAGTCAATATGCAGCCCGTAGGAATCCATTTTTATTTTGTGTTTGACATCACAGTCCCAGGCTGACCTGAGG